TTGTATATTTTGTAGGCAACAGTGAGCCAATAGGTTTGTCAAGTAGTCAATCAATCAATTGCAATACAGTCAACTTGAGTCAACTTCAATCATATCAATCTCTTTGTATAATGAAATGTATACATACATCATATATATATTTATTGATTCAACTCTAATCTGAAGTTATTCCACATATTGACAGCTATCCGTATTGCGAGTTCATCTTTGATTTGCGCTTGTCGAGGCACTTCACATCGTTTCCGGACTGCTATGAGATACGCTGTAATGAGACGTTTACGTTCTTTGGCAGCGAGCCCAACTACTGATCGTCAGCCTGGTTCCTGCTGTTGCACAACTATCGATAACTCAAGTGTATTGCATATGCATATGCGAGGTTAAAATATGGATATACGCAGTGTTCCAGCTATGATATGATTGCATATCCTGTGGAATTGTGTTATTGATAGTTCTGCATTTATATTATATCTAATATAAAATGTTATTTTTTTTCCTAACTTTAATTTGTATGCATTAATAAATATTTACTGAAAATGCAAACGTTTTACTTTAACAGATAATTGATCAATATTTATCGATAGATTTCTCATGTTGAGCTCCCTTATCTCAAGGCTAATCTGCGCTGAAGACGGAACCTAATCATGACATGAAAACTCCGTCTTTCTCTAATCGATAAACTTATCGATATAGTACGACAAATTCTGAACACTTTGCTCGGAATAAATCGTCAAATATTGAGTAAATGAGCTACTTGAACGTGGAATTAGAATATCAAAGGCAATCGATAGTTCTCTCCAGCTGCTTTATATACCCTTGCATAACTAAGGAGAGCTTTTGATGAATAAATAGCATGATTCAAGAATTTATGGAAATACTTTTGATGAGGCCGTGGCAATCGGGGGAGGCGGAGGAGGCGGAAGGGCACAGAGCTGGAGGAGTTGCTTAAGGTACCTGCCGTTCTAGATTGTTTACCGTAAGTAGTCAAGCATCCAGCCGCGAGGAGTGGCAGTGCGCAGTGAAGCCTATTGCCAGCTGGAGCTGGCATGGACAGGAATGTCCATTAATTTGCGACGACCTGCTGGCAATTTCCTCTGGCAGCGCCTTTTAGTTGGTTTATTTCCGCCGAAAACTGTTTGCTTGTCCATAATAAAGAACAAGCTGGCGCCGTATAAACAAAAGTGCCAGACAAAGCCGCCGCGCAGACAAACAAAACAAGCCAGCCAGCCAGCCAGCCAGCCAGCCAGCCAGGCAGACAGACAGACGGACATACAGCAATCCGAACAGCCGAAGCATAGAACAACAAACTCGGAAATTCTATCCGCAAAAATTTGCATAAAAATTAGCATTCTAATTGACATGAGGCCCGACAAAATGAAGTAACCAGGCGCAGAGGCCAGTTAAGCTCTCGCTACCCCTCTCCCACTCGCTCACGCTGACACCCTTTCACTCTCCCCCTCTGATGCCACCCGCCTCGCGCTCACTTTCTCCTTGCGCCTTTGTCTTGGCTTTGGTGTGGAGTTAATTGTTTGTTTAGTGTCATGAAAATACAGTTTACGCCTTTCGCAACAACACGTGCAGACGCGGCCACAATTACAGATGCGTTTGGCTCGGCCTCACGCTCACGGCTCGGCTGGTAGATACCCTGTAGACCATGTCTCCATATGCAGTTGATAAATGTCAAAATTGATGTATGTAAAAAGTTGAGCAAACAGGTAGAAAATATGCCAAAGTTATTTTATGTATTTTTCATACCCATTGTGTAAAGTGTATGCTTGAGTGGGTATATTGCATTTCTTACAGTTGGATAGGGTCGGTGCCTCTCCATTTCACTACCTTTTAGAGACCTCTCTATCTGTCATTCATAGATCACTAGATATCTCGCTCCCTAACTTAATCTCCCTCTCACTCTCGTCGTCTATATAACCCCATTGGAGCCACCCTTGCACACCTACAGGGTATGCCAACAATGGCTACGTATTGGGCCACGTGCACACACAAAAGGGTCGCATCAGACAACGTTTGTCGCTGGCAGAAACTTTTAACTTGCTCAAACTTAATTGCTGGCTGCTCGTTGGGGCGCAACGTGCTTCAAATATAAGAGCCTCGCCTTCGCCCCCGCCCCCGCCTGCGCCCCCGCCCAGAAAACATCTTCAGGATGCGAGCACAAGGATCTGGCGTCTGCTCTGCTGACCAATAAAGGGAAAGCGCTGGGGAAAGGATGCCGGGGCAGGAGGGTGGGCAGGCACTGGTTAAAGTGTTCGCTTTGTTCCCTCAGCTAGAGTTTTCATAATAAATTTTAATATAATTAAATTACTTTAAAAAATACTTGAAAACACTGCCACAGCTGATTGAAACCGCAAACAATCGCAGTTGCTCCACTAAGTGGGGGGAACTTGAAAGGAATATATCAGCTGAAGGGCAAATGAAACAAATATATGTATGTATATATATCTATGTATGTATAGGTATATATATATATATAGGTATATATGTAAAATATATGGTGTACAGCAGGTCATTTAAACAGAGTCAGAATGAAATGGGAAAAGAGACAGAAAAAGAGATGGTGAAAGCTATAGAGGAAATAGAAAAATATATCGTGAGAGACAGGGAAAGAGAGAGAAATAGGGAAGGGTTGAGATAGAGAGAGATATTGAAGTAGAGAGAGGGAGAGAGGATAGAAGTAAGCAAGAGACAGAGAGAGAGAGAGAGGCAGAGGGGGAGAGAGAGAAATAGGGAAGGGTAGAGATAGAGATAAATATTGAAGTAGAGAGAGAGAGAGAGAGGCGAGAGAGAGAAAAGGATAGAAAAGAAGGAGTAAGCGAGAGACAGAGAGAGAGAGAGAGGCAGAGGGAGAAAGAGAGAAATAGGGAAGGGTAGAGATAGAGATAGATATTGAGGTAGAGAGAGGGAGAGAGTGCGAGAGAGAGAAAAGGATAGAAAAGAAAGAGTAAGCGAGAGACAGAGAGAGAGAGAGAGAGAGAGAGGCAGAGGGAGAAAGAGAGAAATAGGGAAGGGTAGAGATAGAGATAGATATTGAAGTAGAGAGAGGGAGAGAGTGCGAGAGAGGGAAAAGTATAGAAAAGGAAGAGTAAGCGAGAGACAGAGAGAGAGAGAGACAGGGGGAGAGTGAGCGAGAGAGAGAGAGAGAAATAGGGAAGGAGAGAGATGGGGAAGTATATAAGGGGAAAGAGTAAAAGAGAGAAATGGGGAAGAATAGAGAGATAGAGATAGATAGAGAGACAGAGACATAGAGAGAGAGAGAGAGAGAGAGAGGCAGCATAGTTTCAAATGAAATGCTTATAAATTGCAGCTGAAATGCCTTCACATAGTAATGTTTGTAATATAAGACTTGCATTGCAACAAATATACATATGCATATTCATGTGCACGGCTGTAATGCACGTATACGTAATGCTCACAAATATCAGCTCCAGTTTGAGCAGAGCTTGTGCATTCTAATAAAACTAATCAGACCTGAGATTTGTTACTCTGAGTGTAGAAAATGATATTTATACACATATACATATACAGATATATTTCAAGCATACACATTTGCCTAGTGAAATGCCACGGGGCGTATGCGCAACTTATGGCTGAGAATTTGGCTGGAGCAGAAGGCTGTGCCTCGCATAAATATTCAGACTGCAATTATGCATACGATTTGCTTATCGTTGCGTCTCGAGTTGTTGCTGTGGAAAGTTATTTAACTTATTTGCGTTGTTATTGAGCGAAAAGTTTTGTCATCGACTGGGCGTGGCAGCAAAGCAGAAAGAAATTCAAGCGAAATTTCGTAACACGATTTTCGCAGTCGTCGCTTCATATATGAAGCTATACATACATATACATATATATGCACTTGTATTTCTATGAAAGTGTATATCTGTTTGTATATTTATGAATTTTTGAGCTTTTTGCGAAACTTTTACTTTTGCATCGCCAGTTGCTGCTGCAGCTGCCGCTGACCCACTCGAGGAGCAAGCGCAACTTTAGCTGGGCTTCTGCTCAGAAGTTGCAGCTGCGGGAATGCTAGACTATTCGGCAGCCGGGTAGCTAGTGTTGGCTAACGTCGCATGGCAGGCTCTTCACATATGCCTAACGAGCTATATTGAAGCATACAGACGTAGCCTCAGTGAGCTTCGCTTCTGGAGCTGCTCTGCGGCTTGAGCTAACAATATTATGTCTATGTATGATATGCGGTCACAGAGTCACTACGCACTGAACGAGCATTGCTGCAGTCAGTTATGCCCTGCTGCTCGAGCCTGTCGCACTTCTTTTAATGGCTCGGCAAAGTTTTGAGTCGTTGCTCCGCTGGCTTAGAGTCGATTTGTAGCCAAGAGTTTGACAACTGTAAATACACAATTTAGTAACTATCTAGCTGTAGCTCTCCCTCTCTGCCACTCTGCCACTCTGCCTGCCTGTCTCCCTCTCCCTCTCCCTCTCTCTCTCAGTCCGTCTGGCTGCACTTGACATTTGATTTGTTGTTTTTCTCATTTTTAATGGTATTTTTATTTTGATTTGCTGCCTGCGCTTTAACTGGGCGACAATTTCGCATAATTTGGGCGGATGGCCGCTTTGTTTGGGCACCGAGTGAATGTACTCACAACTAGTATTCATATTCATATTCATTTGCGGCAGCTCAGCGAACCGCAGCAGCCCCCGTTTTTCGTATCAACGAAAAATTTGCATTTGTTAAGTTGTTTTTCGTTTTGTTTGTTTGCTGATTTAATCAAGTGTCGCGGCCAATTTAACTGTTACAAACACACATACACGTATACATATAGTGATATGTGTGTGTGTGCATTTGTAGCTGAGTAGTTGATATAACATTACGTATACGTAATATTGTGAATAGCCCAAGCAAAGCCAAAGGCTGTACAGTTAGATGGAAGCACACACACACACACACACACACACAGTCACACACACACACACACACACACACACATACATGTGAGGTGATAGAACATTGCGTATACGTAATGCCGCGCAGCAGACGCTCAGTGCTTAGTAGCCAAAGAACAGCCAGGCTGAACAGTTAGATATACACACAGAGAGAGAAGGCGAAACACAGAAAAGAGAGCGAGAGAGCGTGCATTACAGAGAGATCAACAGAGCGGGACCGAGAGAGAGAGGGAGATAGTATGTATCCATTGCAATTGCTAGCTGCTGCCTGGCTTAGCCTAGCCTGGCTAAGCAGCTGCCAAGGCTTTGGCCAGTTCCACATGAAGCGCTATCAGCTGCAGCGCGGCTACAATCCCGACGACTCCAGCGAGAGTGACAACAGCGTGTTACGTAAGAGATCTGTCCATGTGAATATCTGAATATCTGTAATCTCTGTCATCTCTGTCTCTGTCGCTTCGCAGGCTCCTACCGTCGCTGCATGTGGGAGCAGTCAAAGTTCCTGCCGCGCCGGCTCGTTCTGCTCAGCCTCTGCTCGAACCTGTTCTGCGAGAACAATCAGATCATGCCGCGCTCCAGGTCTATTTTCGTAGTGGAAAAAATGTCTAGACCGAACGAGTAGTGAAACTTGATTATTCAACAACAATTGCATGACTGCATGACGGCATGACGGCATGACTGCATGACTGCATGACTGCATGACTCATGGCTCCGACTTCGACTCTGGCTAATGCGAACCTTTTTGATTTCTGTGCTTCTTCCCCCAGCTGCCTGGACATCCTGCCGGAGCAGTGCGAGCAGGGCGACGAGGAGGACCTCATGTACAAGCCCTTCCCCGACTGCTGCCCCGTCTACTGCAATCTGAAGCGGCGCATGCAGCGCCTGCGGACAATGCACTTCCGCCATCGCATATTGCGCAACATGCAGGACGCGTCCTCGTCCTCGTCCTCCTCCAGCGCCGACGGCAACACCCTGCTCAGCGAGATGGGCTACAACAACTACTGATGCCGGCCGCTGCTCATCCACTTTGTCAACTCTGTGGCTAGGCGCATAGGCTGATTGCCAATTGTGTTGCAGTGCTCCCTTCTGATTGGAATTCGGCTCTGCGGATTGGAATTCGGCTGTCGGCTCGCCTGTCTAGACGCAGCACTTGAAGTCTGGCCCAGAGCACATACGTTTACTCTACTCTATCGAATACAAATATACCCTAACTATCGTATACCCAACAAGCAAGTCTTCAATCAAGCTGTCAATTAATCGCTTAGTTGCCCCAGCTGATGATTGATGTAAATAAACTTTACCAAGCACTGTATTTCGCCCTAAATCCATGTCAATCAATCAGAATCAATCATTGTATTAGAAGTCAGTGTCCTTCTGGAAACTAGTCTATGTAGAAACTGGTCAATCAATCCTCTGTTCCCTCCTTTTGAAGTAATATCAATAGCTGACTGATTCAGTCAATCAATCAATCACTCTGATCAATCAGAACATCTTCACAGCTTGCAGGAGCGTAAATTGTAAGTAGACAAAGGCAAATCAGATTGACTTGTCATTTCGATGCTGATACGCCCCACATAAGAGTTCCATTTGAGGGGTATACACAAATTAGGGTGAGCCAAAATAACTTGAGCCACTCGAACTACTTGGCGACAGATGGCGGCTGCTCTTGTGACTGGCTGGCATTGTCAAGGGCCTGGACGGGCATGACCAAGTAGAGACAGCTCGACTCCAATGGAGTGCAGCAGCTGAAGGAGCAGTGGAAGAAGAAGAACAAGCTGAAGCTGAAGCTGAAGCTGAAGAAGTTGCGGAATCTGCGGACTCTTGAACGAGTTGCTCATTAAGCAGGTCGGCAATGATGCGCGCCCGGGCAACGCAAAAGTGGGTATATAGGCTCGGGCATGGCTCCAGGTCTGACAATTGTGAATATGTATCGATATATGTCTATCTCATTCTATTTTGTGGTTCTCTTAAAGAGGTTTTCTAGGGATTCTTCTTGCTCTACTTCACCTGGAAAGTTTTCCACGTGACTAAACGTACCTTAAATTGATACAAGCTGATATTCCTCTTGATTGCTTGCCATTCAGAGCTTGAGCAAGTATTAAGCTGTCGTCTGCGCCTGACTCGTAACAGTTTATTGCCTTGGCTAAGAGCTTGATCTCTCAGTCGGCTAATCTTCAGTGCGGGCCTTGAGCGAGCATCAGGCGCTCGGCATTGGGCAGGAGCTCATTAAAAATTTGCATTGCTTTTGCACCTCTGCAGCTTTAATTGCATTTTGCATTTGCCTTTGTCTCGGACTGTCTTGAGCAGCTCGCTCTCATTCTTGACTCGCTCCCTGCTCCCGCTGCTGCGCCTCCTGTTCGCTGTTCGCTGTTCGCTTTGTGCTCCGCGTTGGCTTTATGGCTTTATGGTGCTGCATTTCCTGTTGCAGCAATATTCCTGATGTTTGCGCGCTGCTTATCATTTTAACACTTTTACGTGCCACACGAGGCTAACCAAGTTTCTGCTTCTTCTGCTTCATCATCCGGCTGCTCTCTCAGCCACTTCTACTCATCTTCTTCTTCCTCTTCTTCATCTTCCTCATTTTTATCAGCAAACAAGCAATAAATTTTATTTTAATAAGCAACAATTTTGATAGCCCAGCGTCGAGGCTGAGCTCCTTGCCATGGGGGACCTTCGCCTCGGCGCATTATCATTGCAGTCGCCGTGCCTCAGCCTCTGCCTCTGTCTCTGCCTCTGCCTGTGCCTGTCCTTGTTTCTGTCCCCTTCACCTAGTCGTCTCGCTGTCGCTGTCGCTGTTGCATGTTGCATGTGGCGCACAAGTAAATACAAAAGATACAGCTAGCCATAACTGTTCGCTGTCATAACGTTTGCAACCGCAGGCAGTGGCGCCACCTAGCGGGGTTCGATTACAGCGCAGAGAGAGAGAGAGAGAGAGAGAGAGAGAGAGAGAGAGAGTGGGAGATACATGTGCATATACAGAGTCTTAGATATTAGGGCATATTTATGTAGAATCAAGTCTGCAATCCTGTCAATGCGTCCCATTGAGATGGAATCGATTTGAATCCTTTAGCTAAATGAGGCCCCATTTGTGCGACGCCAATGGCTGCGGCTGTGGGCCCAGTTAACAGAAGCAGCTGGATGCTGCGGCGAAGGGAGGGGCGTGGCAGCCGGGCCGCCTTAGCCTGGCTGGTTAGGCAACCTGTCTGCCTTGTTTACTTTGTCTCTCTCGCTGTGTGTGTGTGTGTGCGCTTATATCCTGCTTAAGCAGAATTCTTCTCCTTCTCCTGCTCCTTCTTCTACTTCTTATTCTTCCCATTGTTGTTGGCGCATTTCCTTCTGCTTGCCTGGCTGCCTCGACTTGCTTTTTATGTGGCTTTATGCTTCGCACCCACTAGCTAGCAGTAGCTTTCAGCTGCTTCTATCTCTAGCCCTGCCCCTCCCTCGCTCCCTCTGCCCACCTCGCTCCCTCTCTCTCTCCCTCTCTCTCTCCCTCTCTCTCTGTCTTTCCTGCTCAGATACTCATTGTGTTTTGTGTTGCTTCAGCTTCTTCTTCATGACATTGTTGTTGTTGTTGGTTTTACTTTGTTGCACTTTGAAGATTATTGCACAATGCAATTTATATTTATCGTACGCTTTTAGTTGTTGCCGTTTCTTGTTTTTCTTTCATTTATGCCTTTGTAAGAAACACAAACACACACATGCACACATGCACACATGCACACATGCATTGAGAGACTCTAATACAAACATACCAACTCACACATATGCTTACATATAGAAGCAAAGCATGTGGTCCAGTGGAGCTGAGCTGGCAGCCGTCTCTTTTTACTTTTCTCTCCTCTTCTTCTCTATCTTCTCCCTTTTCTTCATCTTCAGCTGCTTCTTCTTCTCAGTCTTTCTACTTCTTCTTCTTATACATGTACTTCTTCGCCTTCATCTTCTACATTTTCTTATTCTTTTCCTGTTTTGTCTTCTTCTTCTTCTTCTTCTATGTGTGTGTACGCGTATCTAACTGTCTAAACTGCCGTTCCGCTTGCTCAGCAACTGAATAGACACTGCATTTAAACCGTTATCCACCTGTTGCCGACAGCTTAATGCAGTCTAATTGGAGCAAGTCCAATGGGAAGACCAGCTGTGTATAAAGGGAAGACAGCACTAGCGACAGATAAATGGACAGGCAAGAGGAGCAGACAAATGCCGTAAGCTTTACATTGAAGTTATCTAGCTCGTATTTATCCCCGCTCTATACGCGTATACCGAGTGCAGTTGGAATTGATATGCTCGGCAAGGGCTGACAGTTTTTTCTTAGAGCACACTTTGAATAGACTCCAATTGGTTTGCCGCATGATATGCGGTTCCGATTGGAATTCACTCACAGAGTTTCATTCCACAGCGGGGCAGAGGTAAAGACAGTGATAAGGGCAAAGGCAAAACTTGCTATTTAAAACTCACAATTCATGAAACTTGTGAAAGTCTAATGAGGGACAGTCACTCAGTCAGCTAATGCACGCAGAGCTGCCGGAGCGGGGCAGAGCTCGGCGTTGCCATATCAACGCCAAGAAAGAGCTAAGCATTAATTAACACTGCGATAAGCATTCAGCTTGCTGTCAACTATCAATGCAAAAGGCGCAGCACAATATGGGAAGTTGGCGGGGGTGGGCGTGGGCGTGGGCGTGGCAGCTGCGTCCACTTCCGCTGCGCTGTTGTCGCTCAGAGTTTCCGCAATTAGTTTAACTCCGAAAGATTCGCACAGCTGAACCCTGAATTGAACCGAGTTGAACTCAAACTTTTGCGCCGCACTCAGCAGAGCAGCGCCAAGCGGGTATATTGGTTTTCCGAGCATCAAATTTTGTATATGATATATGCAAACTTGACATTATAGTTTATATCTCGTTCCTTGCCTACTCTACTACTAACACAAGAGCTGTTAGATGAAGTTCCCCTGGTATGTTATGAAGGAATGATATAGTGAAGACTTATATCGTATATCTTATATGTGCTTTTCCACTTGCAGCGGCTTTTTGTCCAAGGCATAGCCCAGTCGGGCATGCCCAGACCTTTCCACTGCGGAGCGAGCACAAAGGCGAAAGGAAAAAAAGAAAAACAAAAGACGACAGACGAGATTACAGTTTCGCCATTTCGATTTGATGGGGATAATGGAACGAGTCTCGCCAAGCAAAATGCTGGCTAATTAAAAATTGTTACCCGCCACCGAAGTTTTTTCTCGGAGATTATTATGGAGATAGACGAGTATTACAGTTCGGGAATGAGCATGAGCGGGAGAGTGACCTTAACTGGTGCAGGTTAACAGGGAGTTTACATAGCTTGAGCTCAAATATTTCAATCGAAGCACTCCTCAAATTGAAATATAACAAAGTCTACTATTATTTTCCAGGTCTTTTCAAAACACTCTACAACTCGATCAATATCATTCATCATCCATTGGGCCCGTCGCCCAGTTCGTAGAGGCTCTCTGCTCTACAGTTGTGCATTAATTTTGGCCAAGGCATCAGCTGCGGCTCGGCCCATTTCGTGCTCGCTAGAACCGGGTGGCTCCAGCTGCAGAATGTGGGCGCTCTCCTTGAGCAGTCGCACGACCTCCTTGATGCGCCTCTGGAACTCCTGGCGCGACATGCGACCGCTCTGCATGCCCAGCTGGGCGAGCACCATGATTGGTGCATGCAACTCGTACATGATGAGACCTGCAAGAAACGAAGAGGATTCGGATGAGGGTTCGGTACATAAAGAGCGAGTTCAAAGAAGATCCAAAAACACTTTCTAGATACTCTCGATATTTCAAGTTAATAGAATAATAGATGCTAAGTAATAGAAACTTCAAAATCGAGATCTATTGTATATACTGAATGGTAAATACCTTTCTTACACTCTAGACTCTGGAGGCAAGCTCTCACTTCTTCACTTATACCTTTTAATTTGTAAGCAAATACTTTTCTGTATACTCTTGATTATTCAGTGACGTCTTACATACTTTTGATTCAGTTTCTGGTACTCTGCCTACTTACTCTAGTCTCTAGTTATTTCTAGAGTCTCTGACTTACCACGCAGTCGGGTTAGACCCGGCTCGAGTATGTCAACGACAGCCAGAAATTCGCGGCAGTAGCGCTCCTTGCGCTCAATATCCTGTGGCGAGAGCTCGGGCAGCAAATATCCCTCGACGCGGCCATAAATCTGGCATAGCGAGTACTTGGCGGACAGCAGGAGATAGTGATTGGGTCTCAGCACCTCGCGATATCTACAAATAGGACAATCGAAGGGCTTCAATCAATTTATCAAACTCAGAGTCACCCTTGA